AGTTCTTTTAAAAACATTTTTACAAAATCTTAATTATTCCAAAATTTTGACTGGTAGACTATACATGAATAGTTTCATATTGTAATATTGTTGTTGATTTGATTTGATTCAGTGATTTGTAGTGCTTCTCTGCGATTGTATTTGTTTTCTCAACACCTCAAGGCAATCTGTGGTGTTTGTGTGGTTTATTTTTTGACCGACAGGCTGACACCCACTGTAGACCGCAGAGGGTTTTTGACATCACTAAGTGCCTGCATATTTCGGTACTCTACTTTTCTACTAGAAGCTTTTGATTTGACAGACTCCCAGCCGCCACGGAAAGTCTGTGTCTACATTGTTTACACACTATATGATTTCCTCAGGAAACATTCATACCATTCACTTCAGCCATCATCTCTCTTTCCTCTTTTATTTCTCCCTCTTTCTGGAGTTTGATTTTGCTATCAATCGTTCTCTCTCCGTCTCCTTTTGCTTTGAACTCCTTGTCCCTGTCCCTCCCTTCGTCTGTCTTTCCCTCAAAGTCTTCAGAGTCAGCAGAGATGTTTCATCAATTAAACATTGTAAGGGAAACAGGTCAATTTAGCTCAAAGGGAATCATTTAACATTTTAAAGGGCATGTTTTTTGTCCTCTCTAGCTACAGCTTCTAGAGGACGAGTTCAACCTTGCGTCTTAATTTACAGGTATATGACATGACAATGAGAGCTCCATCTCTGTTTAGTGAGGACAATGTTGCCTTGGGGTTTTGCTGCTGGTGCTGAACACTGACAATGTCTTGCTGCTTTATCGGTTTTCTTCTCATTATCTATGCCAAAACTACAGCAAAATGCTTGCTGACAATGTCACTGTTAGAATAATTGTGGCATATCAGTTCGAAATACAGTTCACACAAATATGAAAGTAAATTGATATTATTTAGGATTGTTTGTTACTGTACATTTATAGTAACTTACCGTTATTGATTCCAAATTATAAAAAGAATAATCCACAAATTTAAGTGCTTTTTAACAGTATAATTTAAGTAAATTAAGTAGCATTCCTGTAACTCAAACAGTAGTACATGGCACTAGCAACATGGCACTTTTTTTTTGCATAAATGTAAATCAAGTAAAATCTAAAAACTTTAATACAGGTGTTCCCAACATGCATTGTGGTGTGAATTATTAACAAGGTTGCATTTTCACAATTGTGTAATTTGCACTGTTGGTTTGGTTTATGTTGTTGTCAAGTTTGGTAACCTGTTTTATGGCTCCTGGATTTCATTTTCTACTCAGAATATTTCATTTGTGTGCACAAATTAGCCATTAATGTTTTGTGTGCTGTGTTTTAAAGGCTGTGTTTCTCTTGTGTCCTGAACACACATTATAAAGTCATAGTGTTTCCCAGGCTAGACAATTCAGCTTTCCACATCATTTCCAAAGCACAAAATGTGTCATAAAGTTAAGTCAGACATTTGCATTTATTTTTCATTTAAATATTACTAGGTTATTTTAAATGCCATTTCATCCGATTTGGAAGTAAAAGTATTCAAGCTCCAAAGTTTCAGGCTTCTAATTCAAACTTCAATCTCCTACATTTCTGAAAATCTCCAGTGAAGTACCATAAAAGTTGTCCATAAAAATCTTCTGAAGTCATACGATGTGTGGGGAAACATTTTAAGTCACAGAAAATCTTTCCCTTTTATCGCTGTTTTCAAACGTTATATACACTGATCAGCCACATCATTAAAACCACCTGTCTAATATCAGGTAGTTCAGCACAACCCATAGATGCTCAATCAGACTGAGAATTAGTATCGGATCTTGGGAATTTGGAGGTTCGGGCAACACCTTGAACCCTTTGTCATGTTCCTCAAACCATTCCTGAACAATTTTTGCAGAGTGGTTTCAGCAGAACATTGCCCAGAGCATAACACTGCCTCTGCCGCCCTGCCTTCTTCCCATAATATATCCTGTTGCCATCTCTTCCCCAGATAAATGGTTCTTACACGCCTGGCCATCCATTTGATCTATAAGAAAACGTCAATCATCAGACAAAGCAATCTTCTTCCATTGTCCCATGATCCAGTTCTAGTGTGCCTATTGTAACCAATGAGCAGGAAACTGTGATGCACTGTGTGATCTGACACCTTTCTATCATGGCCAGCAGTTTGTCAGCAATCTGAGCTACAGTAGCTCTTCTGTGTGTGATCAGACCCAGTCATCACTATTTGGCCTTACCTTAAAGGTACCATATTTTACACCTTTCTGGAGTTTTATTTTAGGTTTTGATGTCCTTAAGAATATATATTTGCGGTATAAGTACCAAAAACCATCTCAATATATTTTTACAGTGTCGACTGGCTTACGTCACTTCCTAGTACACACTATCGGTGCGAATGCAACCCTTCAAATAGTAATGGGAAATAGTTCGTGCAAAATCGTCCCAGTACTTTAGTACTGTACATTAAGTTCTGGAACTAAAGCGGTGCGAAAGGCCCTAATATGGGACCTTTAAAGGTACCAATATGGACCCTTTAGGTTCAAAGGTGTATCTTTTAAAAAGGTACCACCCCAGTGACAGCTGTTGTGCCTTTTTTTCTGAGAGTATAATATATCCCACCCCTTGAGATTTGCCACTGTAGTGAAAGTGACGTGACATGTGGCCAAGTATGGTGACCCATACTCGGAATTAGTGCTCTGCATTTATCCCATCCTAAGTGCACACACACAGCAGTGAACACACACACACCGTGAACACACACCCGGAGCAGTGGGAATTAGTGAATTAGTGCTCTGCATTTATCCCATCCTAAGTGCACACACACAACAGTGAACACACACACACCGTGAACACACACCCGGAGCAGTGGGTAGCCATTTTTTTTGCTGCGGCGCCCGGGGAGCAGTTGGGGGTTCGGTGCCTTGCTCAAGGGCACCTCAGTCATGGTATTGAAGGTGGGAGAGAGCGCTGTACATTCACTCCCCCCACCCACAATCCCTGCCGATACGAGACTCGAACCGGCAAACTTTGGGTTACGAGACCGACTCTCTAACCATTAGACTTCCCCCTATATCCCCCTGTAATACTGTATAATCATTGTTATTCACTTTCCCTATCAGTGGTTTTAATTTTGTGGCTGATCGGTGTATAGTTCTCAATATTGAAAATTAGCATGATTGTGTTCTATGAAAAAAGGAAAAGTCATACGAGTTTGGAAGGAAGACAGGATTATTATTTTTGTGTGAACTATCCCTTTTTAATGATTGAACAATTTTTTCAGTGAATACTCCATTTTCGTTGCTTTATTTTACACAAACCTGACCAAAACAGAACAACCCTAATGTATCTGTGCATGTGAACTCTACTTGACTAAGAGTGCTTTGAGCTCCTTTAATGGTTGACACTGAGGCATTCATTGAACTCCAAATGTTTTATCTGTGTGTGTGTGTGTGTGTGTGTGTGTGTGTGCGCGTTTTTGTGACAAATGAGGACATAAATTTGTATAATGACAAGGGTATGACATAGGTATTACAAGGAGAAGGTGACTTTTCAGGACATTACCCCATGTCCCCACTTTTCAAAACGCATATAAATCACTCACAATGGAGTGTATTGAAAATCTGAAATAGCACAAAGTTTCCTGTAAGGGGTAGGTTTAGGGCTAGGGTTGGTGTAGGGCAATAGCACAAACAGTTTGTACAGTATAAAAACCATTACACCTATGG